GCTGTGAAGAGACACACTGGGCGGACTATGCCGGAAGTGAGCAGCGCTGTGGAATCAGCTGGCTGGAAACGTCCCGGCATGCATCAGAGAGCCGGGCAGAACAAAAGCTGGACAAGAAGACTCTTCAACCCCTCCTACTTCGAAGGCGACGTGTACAGGGGCTCTGCTGGCCAGATCCTGGCCCTTCTGCCTTTGCTGCGGTGGTACGGTAGCAAAGTGTGGAGCCGTGTCCAGCCCCTGGCACAGATCGTGCAGAGTTTCCTTCTGCTCTGCTTGTGCGCCGAGAAGGTGCGGCAGGTGGTTCACACCCGAGCCTTCGATGCTCTGGACCAGGCTCAGCGAGCCCACCACAGAGCATTCGTGGAGTGCTATGGCTCACAGGAGCTTCGGCCTAAGCATCACCATCGTCTGCATTTGCCGCAGCAGTACCTCCGATTCGGTTGCACCCCGACCTGCTGGCCTGCAGAAGCGAAGCATCAGGACTTCAAGAAGTTCTATGCCGAAGCCTGCTCTTCGCAACTTGCAAAAAGTCGCGAAGGCGGGTTCTGCATCGCCGTGCTTCCACGCTTGCTGCTGCGAAGCATCGAACTCCTAGCGGAAAACCCTCCTCTTTTGCACGGGGCTTTCGAGCTGCTGGAACCCTTTTCGCAAGATGAAGTCTTTGCCGCAACCGGTGTCGCTGAATGCTCACTGGCTTCCAAGTGCCGGGTGGCCTTGTTGGAGCTATGGCACGGCGACATCTTGCTTTGGGGGGCGGAACAGCCTCAAGGTGGTCTCTGCCGCTTCTTCCTGCAAAGAGACGGAGTGCTGCATGTGGCCTTCGAGATGCTCGACTTGCAGACCTGCCTGCCAGAGGAATATGTCTTCCGACGAACGAAGACTACTCGCATGCTTCGCTTTTCTAATTTAGTCCACCCGCGACTTCCTCAGTGGCTCTGTCAGGAACATGACCGACTCGTGTGCTTGCCGTGAGACAAAACCAGCTGAAATGCAGCTTTCTTTGCCAACCCATGCTTGACTTGGAAACCTTATGCAAAACCGTGGAATATTAAAAAACAAGGCACCGAAAAGATAAAAAAAGTTATAAAAAGATACGAAAAGTTATAAAAAAGATATAAACAGACAGCCTATCTTTTTATGACTCCTTCCCAACTGACTTTGCCAAGTCCATGTTAAGTTTCTGCAACCTTCTCCTAAGTTTCTTGCATCTGCAATAAAAACTTATAAGAGACTTCCAACCAGGGGGGCGCTCCCTGTACTCGTACGAAGCAGAACTATATATATATATATAGGATCACACAGCAAATATTAGTTCATGAAGCTCCTCCAATAGGTGGGGGATTGCGATCGCTTCTTCTTACCCTTGCCCTCGCCGGACCCAGTGCTTGCAGCAGAGGAAGCAGAGTGGGCCTTACTGAATCAGGAAAGCATATC